GATGACCCTTTTGTAGTTTTAGAGTCGACCTCGGTACCAGCAAATTCTTCTCCCGGGGAGTTTTCAGATCCACTGGAGGAGATTGGTAAGCTTGGTAAATCTGGAACTGCGAAAACTGATGCTTCATCAGTTAGTGGAGGGGTGTTTGATGATCTAGATCCACTTAATGGTTTTAATAAGCCGGTTCGTCCACTTTCCCCTGAGAAGAAGACTGGAGGTAAGGACAGGAGCCCGTCAAAGGCTGGACCAGGAAGGAGTGATGCACATACCTCTACCTCTAGAGAAAATATTGGGACATCGTCATTTAGATCTTCTGAAAGCCACTCACAGAAAAAGGTTCGTGGGGATCAGGAGTCTCCTCTTTTTGACATGCCTTCAGAAGATCCTCTGAGATCTTTCAGTGAAGCTGCTCCACCTCCATATGCAGATAATGATCTTCATGAATCAAACTTCCAAGTAGATACATCCCCAAGATCAGAGGAACAAGTGCAGTCTTCTGATGATATATGGCTTACTGTATCAGCGATTCCTCTTTTTACACGACCTACAAGTGCTCCACCTCCATCTCGACCACCGCCTCCAATACCACGGCGCAGTTCAAAATCAGAGGCAAGTTTCTTTGCTTCAAATGCAAGAAGGAAGGGTGATGGGTACTCCTCTTCCCCAAATCACAACCAGTATTCTCAGAGTCCTAAGCCTGTCCGTCCTGCAGTTAAAAGCCCTCCAGTCTCACAGTTGGATGAACTTGAGGATTTTGCCAGGGGTTGGCCCAGGAGTAGCACTGATGAAAATGCTGATGCTTTTTCTGGAGAAGAGATGAATGCAAACTCTGTAGCTGCTGCCTCAGCAGCTGCAATGAAGGAGGCTATGGATAGAGCCGAGGCCAAATTTAGACATGCTAAGGAAGTCCGAGAAAGGGAATATGCAAAATCTGCTAAGAGTAAGGAAGATGTACATCTGGAAAGGGATGAAGAAGCAATAAATGAAGTGCAGGAACGAGAGTTTCAAGAAAACCAGGAGAGACTAGAAAATGAGAGGCGACAACGGGAAAAGGAAGAGGAAGAAAGAGCACAAAGGAAGCTTGAGAGAGAAAGGGAGAGAGCGAGGGAGCTTGAAAAAGAAAGGGCTAGGCAAGCGGTAGAAAGGGCTACTAGGGAAGCACGGGAAAGAGCAGCAGTTGGGGCACGTGACAGAGCAGCTGCTGAAGCTCGTTTAAAAGCAGAAAGAGCTGCTGTGGAGAAGGCTGCTGCTGAAGCTCGAGGACGGGCTGAAAGGGCTGCAGTTCAGAGAGCACAAGCAGAAGCTCGCGAAAGAGCTGCAGTAGAAGCTAAAGAAAGAGCTGAAAAGGCAGCTGCAGAAGCAAGGGAAAAAGAAGCGCGTGAAAAAGCTTCTGCTGTGAAAGCTGAGGCTGAGGCACGACGACGGGCGGAACGAGCAGCAGTAGAAAGGGCAGCTGCAGAAGCTCGAGAAAGGGCAGCTGTAGAGGCTCGAGAAAGGGTAGCTGCTGCTGCAAGAATGAACCAACAAAGGAATGATAATGATCTTGAATCCTTTTTTAGTATGGGTAGAGCCAGCAGTGCACCAAAGACGAGAACGAGTACTCCAGTGAGTAGCGAACATCATTAACATTCTTTGTTGTTCTTTAGTTTAATTTTTTTTACTAAGTAACGATAAACCTTTGACGTTCATTCTTGCTGACCTTTACTTCGTTCGCTGCCAATTTTAGGACAATGTATTTGATTCGCAATTCCAGACTAAGGCAGGATCTGAAGGGCCAAAATCATCGTCTGGTGTAGCGTCCTCCAACATGAGGAAAGCATCTTCCACTACTAGTTTCGTGGATGATCTTTCTTCCATTTTTGGAGGTAATTCCTCGTGTCTTCATGGGCGAACATTATGTATCTGATTTGGTTTTTAAGTTGTTTCTCATGGCTTTATTGTTTACTATTGAACTTCACCAGCTTCTGCATCATCTGGAGATTTCCAAGATGTTGAAGGGGAAACTGAAGAAAGAAGAAGAGCCAGACTTGAACGCCATCATCGTACACAGGAGCGTGCGGTATATATCCTGACAAATAATATTTTCTTTCTAGTCATGTTGGATATTTTACAGCTTTTAGCATGTAGTCTATTGGTGCTCATTGTTTATGTATTTATTCATAGTTGATATGTATGTGCTCAGGCTAAAGCTTTGGCTGAAAAGAATCAGCGTGACCTTCAAGTGCTGAGGGATCAGGAAGAAAGACATGTAAGTTCTGTTTTGACAAATAACTAGCAAAAGCTATAAATAGAAATTTGCTGTGTAAGGTGACTAAACAACTAAGCTACTATTCACAATACAATGTTGAATCTATTACTGAAAATCCTAGTAAACACGGCCTTTTTGATCAGCAACTCACTATTTGGAGAGTTTTGTTGCTGCTGCATGAAAGGCACTCACATATTGCCTAAATAGATAATTTTTTAGTTTGGAATGAAAGAGACTGAATAGAGAAAGAATCAACATAAAGAAGTCATATAGCTAACTCAACTAATTCGGATTGAGTTGTAGTTGATTGATTGTGTTAATATGCGAAATCGAGGTAGCCATAGTTATATATTGACTACAGCACTACTTAGTTCGAAGTGCTGATTTTTTTAGCGGTAGTTTTAAGTGCTGAATAAATCGAGTTAAAGCAAGGAAAATTAATATTGCTCCTTGTTTCCTTGCCTCTACACATGTCACCTTTTAGTGAATAAAATGAGTCAAGTGTTGTTGGTTTCTTGGTTGAACTTGCATTCTAAAGATGAGCTTGCTTTTTCCTCGTTCCTCTTTAAGTTTTATTTGTATCGTCATCCTTTGCTTCTTTGACTGTTGCTGTTTATTCTTTAATCTTATTGGTTTACTAATTGTTGCAGAGAATTGCTGAAACATTAGATTTTGAGATCAAGCGATGGGCTGCTGGAAAAGAGGGAAATCTGCGTGCACTTCTATCGACTTTGCAATATGTGCGTTTGGTTTCCATACATAATTTGCCCATATTTTGTTTAAAATAATCCCCCTCCCAATAAAACCCTTACCACCTGAAGGAATACTGGTGTTTCTTCTAAAATATAGATATAGAAATTTTAGGAGCCAAAAGAAAACATACAAACAACTTAGTCTGTCTATTGTCGTGTTTGGTTGCTAGTCAATCATATTTTCTTGGAGATAGTTACCCTCAGCCCTCCCACTTTGAACACCGTCGTTGAAAAAGGAAAATGAAACTACCAGTTTCTGAAATGGAAATTCATAAGCCAAAGTGACTATGATTTCAAATCTCTTGGAAATCATAAACTTTTTTATCTAGTTTTGATTAGGTTATCTAGTTCTTGACTATCCTATTCCTCAAATGTTTGAACTTTCTTCACTTAATAATAATATCATCCTGTTCAAAGTCACTTAAACTTTTTTTTTTCTCCTTATGATGTAATTTTCTCTCGTTTTTATTCATCAGGTGCTTTGGCCTGAATGTGGTTGGCAGCCTGTGTCCTTGACAGATTTGATTACGGGCGCCTCTGTCAAAAAAGTATATAGAAAAGCAACCCTGTGTATTCATCCTGATAAGGTGCAGCAGAAAGGTGCCACCCTTCAACAAAAATATATTGCCGAGAAGGTTTTTGACCTACTTAAGGTACTTAACAGTGGTCAATGCATCTTAGATTCACGTGCCACAAATTATTCTCTTTTTTGTTTTTTGGATGAGACATGTAATAGATTTCCAGCAACTGTCATGGTTTGATATTATTGTAAAGCAGATGTGAAAATAGACTCCTCTGTTAAGGCATGAAGAGTCTATCATTCCATTGTTGCTGTAGGCTTGGTGGACCTATTGGCAGTCTATTTTTTCTGGTCGTTATCATCCATGTGTTCCCGACTACTCACTTCTTTTCTCCAATCTGTTGATTTTAAGTGGTCAGGATTTCTGTATCCTTTTACCTGAATTGCTTAGCTTGAGTTATTGCCTTTTTGCCAAAATTATCATCGTAATATCCTTTTTCTGCCTTTGTTATTTCTGACTGCACAACTCTCTTTAGCTTATTCTCAAGTTATATTTTTCAGGAAGCATGGAACAAATTCAATTCTGAGGAACTCTTCTAGATGCTGCATTTGAGTAGCTGTAGCTCCCTTTTGGACTTTTCAATTGAAGAGGTGGGTAAATTTTCCTAAAGCAAGCTCGTCATTGCGATGCCTCTGATATCTAGCATTCCCCAGCATGTGGCGTTTGGTGGACTGCTAAAGATGGTCTTTTTGGCCATGATGATAAAGTAAATTCTTACCGTGTTGCTGTAAATTGATGTCAATGCCAGAGTCATGTGGGTAACTGGCACTTGAAGTAACTGGTTGGTGTAGAATAGCATTGTTTCCAATCATGTTATGCTTCTATATTGCATTTGGTCACCGTCTCTCTGCATGTGATCATTTGTCTTCAATATTCTTTTTTGGTTTCTTTCCAGTTAAGCTTGCATTTGTTTGTACTTAAAGAGATGTCATTGTTGTTAGCTATATGCAACATGGGAGGAGCATTGTAGTATTGTTGAGTTGAGTATCACACAAGATGTAAAATCCTATGTAATTTCCTATTCATTTATGTGAAAATTTTGTTTTACGTGCAGAAAATACTCTTTTCCATCACTCTTTGGGACTTTATATGATTTCTATTGCGGGTGCTAACAATAACATATGATGCTCAAATTAAAGCTTATCTTCAAAGCTTTCACTTGAGGGTGAGGAGGGCGTGATCCAAGCGTTTCACCCCTATCTCTTGTAGTCAAAGTTTAATTTTATTGTTGTGGAGCAAAATATATCAATTAATTGCTTAAATAGCTGAAAGTAGACGGAGATTACTTGTTCCAAATTTTACTGGAGTGTTTTTGCAAAAATTAGGAAAAATCTTGCAATCCCGGAGGTTGCTGTTGCATTATAAATCATCGAAGCTACTGTATTTAAATCCATAGTCACACCATCAAAGTTCATCAGATATAACTGAACTGGTTGTCTTTAGCATTTCTGCTTTTAATAATGGTCCATTTTTATTTCGCCGTAATTCTTTTCTCCAATATATATACATACATATTCTCTCCTTAATTACGGGCTTTATCCCTTCCAAACATCAACCATTACAATCAACGGAAGAACACCAAGAAGGAAGAGAACATAGCTTAAGAAGAAACTGCCTATATTACAACCTCAAACATGCCACATCCCTGACAGGTAACGTACAGTGCATTCAGAGTAAATCTAGTTTCAACACAAAATTTAGGCTTTAACCTGCATCCTTTATCAAGATGGTCTGAATGAGCTTCAGCCAATCTATTTCGTAATACCTCTAGATTGATCTGGAAAAAAAAGACCATCAGATAACATATTTTAAAAAAACATTTTGAAGTATGTTCCAGTATAAAACAATTACCTACTCTTCACTAAACCTATAATGCAGACATATACAATGCATAAGACTCAAATGTTAACTTAGGAGCAAATAAACTCAAGTGATACAAAATGCAAAGAGAGAAAAGCATTCCCTTAGTACAAAAACAAATATTCCAACAACTAAATTTACCAGTTTTCAACCCTGCACCAATACCCAGAATGTCATACTTAATCACTTCACAATAGTAGGTTATAGCAGCAGCTACAAATCTGGTATACAAAAGATTCTGGTTTGCAGATAAAACCCTCCCACAAACAAGAAAGAGCAAGGCTGTGGTGGGGAAATATTTTTCACTTAAAACCCAAGAAAGTAACTAAACAAGGGTGTAATTTGATGCAAACAAGACAGCAGTTATTGTAAATCAAAAACCTTCAGAAAAGTCTCGAATTACTTATCAAATAATAGAAAAATTTTAAAAAACTGAAAAGTACATAAGACATTTAAATTAAAAAAAGACTAACCTCATCATCTCTGTTGAGCCTAAGTCCACAAAGAGTGCAATAGATAAGATGACAGTTCTCTTTCAACTCCCCTTGCTTGCAGATGGGACACCAAACCTCTTTGCCACCCTATAGGAAACATCAAGGTAATTCAAAAAATCACCTATTATCAGAAGTGTCAGCAAATTGACAGAGACCATGTGAAACAAGAAATCATCTGAATGTATGAATGTGAAACTAAAACATATACCAGCAAAACCCAAAAACACAACCCTTGTATGAGTCAGCAAATAAGAACCTACAAATGTTAACAGCTGAAACAGTAACAGCTTTTCCTTCCATTAACCATTGAGAATTTTCGGAGTGATCCTGCCTAATATATTCATTACAGCACAATCAACTGGCCATCTCATTTGCTCTAGTATCATTATTAGACAAAACCTTTTGCCATGGAGGCAGGACCGTTTAAGATTACAATCCTTTTTTTTTTTTTNTACAGGAAAGGAATGATGAGAAATGCAAATCATAATTTGTTGTGGTTAATCTGAACTGACACTTTGTAAGGTTACTTTTTTGTTTTGACTTTTATAGTGGGCCACAAACCTTCTCGTTGAGGGTCATGTGCTCGAATACTGCACAAGCCAAATACTCGTCTTCTTCATCTTCCCAAGTTCCAGTAGAACCTTGTTCTGCAAAAAGCCAGAGCAATCTAACTCAAAATACAGGTCAATCGATATGTACTTCCTAAAAGAATCCCTCCTCCATGAAAAGGATAAAACTGAAAAAGGAAACAAAAAACTAGTTCCACATGGCAGACGACAGTTCATGATTTTCTGTCACCTTCAAACTTTGACGAAATGAGTGAGTCTAAGCTCCTCAATAACGCCTGGATTCTTTTTCCCGAGCTTATATAAAGTAGATTATCTCTACTCGGAACACTATGAAGTTTTCTAAACCCACAACTAGGAGAGTACCTAATTCCAGATGATGTGTGAAAGACCTTTACCTTTTGTTTCTTCCACCCTGAGATCTTCATAAAAAATCCTCTGCATTTCGAGCAACATTTCCTCACAATCACCTTGATAAGCTTCATCAAGACCATCATATTCCCATATAGTATCATCAGGTGCTGGGGAGAATTTTGAATTATCAAGACTCGCACTGTGATATGAGTTCTTAAATTTCTGTATTTCATCAGAAACTATGACCTCTAGAGATGACTTGATCAGATTCTGCAACCACATAGGCTAATATAAGTTCAAGGAACAAGCTAATTACCTTCTGTTAAACACACAAAGTGGGACAAGTTGGAGTATAACTGATGACCACATTCAGAAAACTGACAATAACACCAAGCTTTAGAAGTGTATAAAATTTTAAAAGCCAACTCTAGTTTACAAGAAGAGCAGATAAATGACAAACATGTGATGTATAGGAGTCTAGTCTAGGATCCTACTGGATATACATAAAAAGCTAGCAAAAATAGTAGGGATAAAAGATATTTCAGACGTAATGACCTAGTGAGGACTTGTCTCCAAAAAATGTCTACCCCAGCATTTATAAGGTTTTCTGATACCCCTTGACACCAATAGACATTCCAGAGAAGAAACTTGTCGGTTTACCACAATGAGATTTACAACCTAGATTTATTGTCTGATAGACAACAGTATCCTCAAAGACAATTATCGTCCGATCCTTACCAATCAGTACCAAAGAAAATCACCTTGAGAGAACTAGAGATCACTTGTTGTTGTTAAGTGACATACAACAAACTCAAGTGCTGTTTCACTTACTTTTCTGAGCCAACAACAAAGGGACATTGACACCAAGGTTATAGCATTTCTGCTATTGATTGACACTCTATAAAATCCTCCATAGCCACTTTCCAGGCATTGCTATGGACATGGGATCAGCCATAATATGCCTCGCTGGGTTTTTGCCTCTTTTCTTAATTTTTGAAAGTAAAGATATCTAAATACTTTTCAGGAAGCTTTGACAAAGAAAGATCTGTGCTAGAAATTTAGCATACCTTTGCAGAAAAAAAGGGAAACATGAGGAATGATATAACTAAAGAATGTTGACCAGTTGCAAAATGTTTATGGAATACGTACACATATGGAAGCAATGTTATTGGCATGATTTATCATCCATTTGAGGCAGAAAAACTTGCATTCTAACTAATCAATGCATAGAATAAGGTCGAATTACAAATTAGGGTTTGCAAAAAGAAAATAGATCATGCCATCTTATCCTTCCGCAAAAGAAGGAAACCCACTCTTTCAACCAGACGTACCGGGAGATTAAGCCACAGTGCAATTGTGGTAAAAGGTACACATCACACTAGTGCTAACAATAGAAACCCCCTATCTACGAATCGTTAGCGAGTGATTGATCCAGTCTTATAATGAATTGAGGTGCCAATTCAGATAACATATCAACTTCGGCCCATTTCGAATGGCTTATTAGCCAATTGCCAGAATTCACCACTCAATAAATAACAGGTATGGAACTTTTATTGACAAATGAAGAGAACTTGATTGCCCTCCATTGTTTCCGGGTAATTCTTTTGAAAGGTTTCAACAGACAGCAGTTACAGAAAGGGGCAGATCTACGGTTTCGGTTACAAGTTAACTCAATAGCTTTTGCCCAAAACTCTGTAAACATATTAAGAAATACACTAGATATCTATAAATATTTAAGTGTGAACCCTTGTTATTATTGTAATATTCTTTTGGAACCCATAAATTTCAAATACTGGATCTGCCTATGGGTTACAAACCAAAAAAAGGAGAAACATCACTAATGAAACAGTAACAATCAGTTCCCATAGAGTAGATGAAATATTTTGGGATATGAGAAATTACTAAAAACCTTGTGTTGTTGGTCGTTGGCGAACCTTAATTTCCAAAGAAGGCGGCTTCGATCTTCTCGGACCCTTCTGTAACAATTTTCTCTGAGCTACAAAACAGTTTATGAAAAAAATATTGAATCCATCAATTTGCCCCAAATGTAAACAAGGGTATTGTAGAAGTAAAAATGGAACCTTGTGTTTCCATTTGGGATAATTATTGAAGGAACTTTGAGATTTAAGACAAGGGCGAATCTTGAGTCTTTGTTCATCGTCTCCTGCCATTTTTTCCTAAATCAAGTAAATTGTTGGACCCTGGCCTGGAGAAAATATGTAAAAGCAGATGGGGGAACTTGGTGCCTTCCCCTGCCTATTCTAGCGCTTAGCGCGTTTGTCTTAATTCTCAAACTCCAGCGCCATGAGCGGTTGAATATATTATTTTAAACTATAATATTTTTAATATATTATATCATGTTAAATTTCAACTAGCATCTTACTTCTCAATCAATATTTCATTTACTAAACTATATGAAATTAAAGAAAAATTAATTATATAGTCATCGTATAACTTTATTTCTTATTTTTTCTTTATTATAATTTTTATTATTTAGTATTATTAGGCTATTGAATTTTTTTTATTAGCGCATTACTTGATTTAATATCATTGTCCACTACTCCTTTTAACATATATTTCTTACTTCTCAAAACATTATTTTTAAAATTTTATTTTATTGTTCACAATTATTCAATTTTCTAAATTTATCGATAATATCTTTGTGTATTATTTACTTAATTTATCAATATAATCTTTGTATATTTTTTCTACTGTAATATTATAATTAGTTTTCTTCATTTTAAATTTTATATATAATCGAAATACTATCATATTTAAATCAATAATAATTTTATTTTAAAAAAATATATAAATAGATAAGGAGTTTATTATTTTGTCATAAATCTACTGATATTCTTAATAATTGCTATTTTTGCAATATTTGTTATAAGCAAATGAGCTGTTCTTTTATCTCAACTCAAATATTTCTATCTATAAATTCGAAATAATATTTTATCTTTAAATTTGAATTAAAATTATTTTCTTTATCAAAAACTTATTTGCAGTTTGAATTGGTAGTTTTTTTTTTTTTTTATAGATATAGACTATCATATTAGGAAGAAATCAATCCCCAATTTGAATTGGCAATTTTTTATTTTTTATTTTTTTATTTTAAAATAATTTAAAACTTCAACTTTCTTGGAGCTTAATTTTATTTTATTGTTCACAATTCTTCAATTTTCTAAATTTATTAATAATATCTTTGCGTATTATTTATTTAATTTATTTTATTTTCTAAATTAATTCAAAGTTGAAATATCCTCATATTATCTGTATTTTCATCTTTGTACATTTTTTCTACTGTAATATTATTATTAGTTTTCTTCCTTTTGAATTTTACATATAATCTAAATACGATCATATTTAAATAAAGTTTTAATTTTGATTTTTTTCAAAATATAAACAAATAAGTAAATTTTACTATTTTGTCATAAATCTACTGATATTTTAAATAATTTTTATTTTTTTCATTATTTGCATTAGCAAATGAACTTTTATTTTATCTCAACTTAGATATTTCTATCTGTAAATTCAAAATAATATTGTTATATTTAAAGTCGAATTCACTAAATATTTTTTATAAAAAAATATTGATGATTTGAATTGACAGTTTCTTATAGGTATAGACTACCATATTAGGAAGAAACTACTCTCCAATTTGAATTGATAATTTTTTTATTTTTATTTTTTATTTATAATTATTTTAAAACTCCAACTTGTTAGAGCTTTGTCCAAAAAATCTATACTTGTCATCTTATGGTTATGCCACTTGGCATCATATATTTTATTTTATATAGATAGATATTATATTATGTGTTGGCAACTTCTTAATTTAAAATAGAATAGGGTTCAGAATAAATAATTTCTAATATATAAAAATTATTTTTTCGTAACAAAAAATAGTTAAGTATGTTTAAATTTGAATTCAAAAAAGTAACTATTTATTAAGAACACAATGCATAATTTATTTATTTTTAAAATTTAAATTCAAAGAAACTAATTAGTACCTAACATAACTAACTTTGTCCTAAATTGCCAAGTGGCCTATTGTGACGCTGCCACTTTGTAACGACCCGAATAGTCGCTTTGTGTATTTGATCCATGTTTTCTCTTTTGAAGCTTCTCATATGTGTATTTATGATTTTATGATTTGCGGGAATGGTTAGTTTCATTTCGGGAACGTTTTGAAGTGATTTGGATCCCTTTGTTCTTGCTTTATAAGCTTAAGTTGAAAAAATTAATCGAGGTTTGACTTTTGTAAAAACAAACCCGGAACGGTATTTTGATGTCTCTGATAGATTTGTATTGTAATTTTGGACTTAGGCGTATGCCCAAAATTTAATTCGGAGGTCCCTAGATTAATTTGACTTGAAAGTTGGCAATTTGAAGTTTAGAATTTTTCTTAGGTTTGACCGTAGGTTGACTTTATGACTATCGGGTTCGGATTTTAATTTTGGGACTTGGAATAGATCTCTTTTTCTATTTGAAACTTGTCTGCAAAATTTGGTTTCATTCCGAGTTGGTTTGATAGGAATCAGACGCTTGGTTGTGTTTCTAGCAATTCTTGAGTTTTCTTTTGGACTTCATGTGTTTTGATATCCAATTCGTGGTTTCGGATATTATTTTGGTATTTTGGATCGCGCGAGCGATTCGTATAATATTTTTAGACTTGTGTAAATGTTTGGTGTGGAGCCCCGAGCGCTCAAGTGAGTTTCAGATTGATTTGAATTCATTCGAGGTTGATGGTGTGCTGATGCTCTAGATATCGCAATTGCGAGCACCAACATTGCAATTGCGATGTAGGCAGAGAGGGATTAGGTATCGCAAATGTGATGCCTTACTCGAAATTGTGAAGAAAGGCTTGGGAATGGGTAGGTCGCATTTGCAACCATCTGGCCGCATTTGCGAAGTCAATGTCGCATTTGCGACATTTTCCAGGGTTGTGAGGCGTCGCATTTGTGAGGGTTCGCAATTCATAATTGCGACTTCTGCACCTGAACAAAAGGGTTGGGAAAAATGGGATTTAGCTTTATTTTCATATTTTAGAATCCTAGACTCGGTAGGAGGCGATTTTGATGAGAGATTTTCACATAAAACTATTGGATAAATGATTTTGATCAATTTTTAATTATATTACATGATTATTTATGATATTTAACCTCTAATCCTTGGAATCTGAAGAGAAGTTTTGGAAAATTTTGTCTATGTTTTGAAAAATAAAAAATTGAGATTTGAGAGTCGAATTGGACTCGGATTTGAAAACAAAACACATATATGGACTCGTGGGGTTATGGGTAGTCGAGATCTACTCTTGGAGTCGGGTTTTGACCCGATGGGCCCGGGGTTAAATTTTGTTGATTTTTGGAAAATTGTGTAAAGATATTAGCTTTATTGGCCGAAATTGGTTTCTCTTGCATTGTTTGATGATATTAAGTCATTTTGGTTAGATCTGAGCCGTGCGGGGGCGAATTTTAAGGGAAAAGCTATTTTTGAATGTTGATTTGGTCTAGTTGAGGTAAGTATCTTGCCTATCTTTGTATGGAGAAAATTATCCCGTAAGATTTGGTATAATTGCACTATTTGAATTATGTGGAAGACATGTACATGAGGTAACGAGTGTGTACACAGACTTATATCTGAAAATTAACTTATTTAGACTTATAGGTTTCTTTTATGCATTTAATTGAAGTTGTTATCTCATGTTATATTCTTCTTTGTCGAGTTTATTCTTAAGCATTTAATTGAAGTTGATATTACATGTTCCATCTCTCATTGTAAAGTTTACTCTTATATGCTTTAATTGAATTGGTTATTACATGTTCTGTCTTTTTTTGTCGAGTTTACTCTTATATGCGTTTGATTGAGGTTGTTATTACATATCATATCCTTTATTGTTGAGTTTATTCTTATGCATTTAATTAAAGTTGTAGTTATTGAGAGCTATTAACATCTTTTGTGGTTGAAGTTGTTGTTTATTGGAAAATTTTTCCTTGTTGAGTTATTTTCCGTTTCATTTTGTTGTTATTGAGACTCTTGTACACATTATGGTTGAATCGTGGGCTATGTGTTGTGATTATATTGGTATTATTGTGGTGGAAAATATTATGGCATATGGGCACGTGTGGTTCAAGATGATTATTGTGTTGTGACGTGATGCGCATGCGGCGGTATAAAGGTGGTGATATTGATGCGCGTGCGACGAGATAAGGGGAACTTATGCACATGTTTCTAGTAGGGAAATTACTTCATTTGAGGCACACACGGCGAAATAGGGGGTTAAAGCGCGTGAAGCTATTTTGGGACAAATATTTTTTTAAATAAATGCAAGGCTCACGCGGCGATATAAGAAAGATTGTGATTATGACTTGTGAAATGTGAATATGAGGTGTGGTACCTCGGAGTGATTCTTGTTGTACACTCTATGTTGGAACGTCTTGTTGATTTGAACGGTTATTGTTTTCCTTAATTCAATTCACTTGTATTTTGACTTTATTTGATTATTTGATGTTTTTATCATATGTTCACATATTGTTGTCATTTATTGCTATTACTTCCGTTGTTAGCCTTATATTAATATTCTGCCTTGTTGTCATTTATTTCTATTACTTTTATTGTTAGTCTTATATTAATATTCTACTTTATTGTCCTTTATTGCTTTTACTTCCTGTTGCTAGATTATATTAATATTGTGCACAGTTTCTGTGTCTAGTAATTGTCTTGATCCGACCTCGTCACTACTCCGCTGAGGTTAGTCTTGATACTTACTGGGTACCATTGTGGTGTACTCATACTATACTTTTGTATATTTTTGTGCATATCCAGGTGCTTCTGCTTGTGCCGCAGGCCTCAGAGTCACCTTCTAGTGATCATATGCTATTGTGCCTCTCATTTCCGAACAATATTATAATAGAGATTCCTAGTGTATTTCAGTAGAGCTTATGACTCTGTACCACCGATTTTGGGATTGTACGACTATTGTTCCATTCAGGTGATATTATGTCATTTATCAGTTTGAATTAATAGCTTAATCATTTATTTCGGTTAAATTCTCAACATGTGATAGGCTTACCTAGTCTTAGAGACTAGGTGCCATCACGATTCCTAAGGTGGGATTTTGGGATCGTGACAAGTTGGCATTAGAGCTCTAGGTTTTTAGGTGCTATGAGTCATAAGCAAGTTTATAGAGTCTTTCGGCTCTATTAGGGGGTAGAGCCGCGAGAGGTAGACACCCGGGGAGGGGCGCGTGCTATAGCTAGAGCACCTGTCAGACCAGCAAATGAGGAGCCACCAGTAG